ATTGGATTATTCACCTTTATATTGTTGTGGTGCTCAAGTATTTTATAAATTTTAGATATAAGTCCTTTATCTGACATGTCATTACCAAACACTTTTTCCCAGTCTGTGGCTTCCCTTTTTACCCTAACAGAGTTAACTTTTATATAAATATGTTAGGTACTGATACCAAGACAACGAAGCTCCACAGTCTGAGGGCTGCGTTTCCCAGGAATAAATCTTTGGAAGTCTCAACACTCCAAAGGTATTTTGGCTTCTACTCCAAAATACATGCATGATTGTTTTTAATATGACAGTTCTGTTTGTTGGAATTGTTCCCTCTGAATTAAATTTACAATTATTTTGTCGTTTCACATAATACTAACTCATTTCTGCCTAATTTGTGAGAGTTAGAACCGTTGATTTTATATATGCATGTATCAACTAGGTAATTCTGATAGCACAGTCTATAGAGAGTTGCACTGCATACCCAAAAGCTGAGCTTCTCTGGAGGTTTGATTCCACCAGCAATTCTCAGGGAATAAGAGACTGGAAAGAGATCTGCTTCAGTGTAACTTACAGATTCTGAAACATACTAGAGGGTCAGCTGTGAGTTGGTTCTTCTACAGCAATGAGCTCTGAGATATGTCAAAGTACTTGGGCTATGACATCCAGCTCAAAGACTAATTAAGGTGTTCCGAAGAAGTCAGCCCCTACCCATCCACAATAGAATGAACTGCTTAATTCTGCATTATTCTCACGTTGGACTGTGGACCATATCATTGCCACCCACAAAGGTTTTCTTGAGTGCTTTTTAAAACCAATTGCCACCATCTCTCTTCCCATGGAAGTTCTGCTGAACCCTGTTCAGTATCATAGCCCTGATAGGTGCACTGGCCAGAAATAAAACTAGAGCTTCTGTAAGAAAGTCGATAATTCTACCCAGGAACCACCAGTATCTCATGTCATGAAGCAGTTACAAGTAGGTAAATGCGCAGGCCTTAAAGCACACTACTCTCCAAAACGTGGGAGGCCTGATGAACACAAACGGAGTTTTCTGTAAGGTACAGTCTGTGTCTAAAACGTTAAGGATATTTTGTCAAAACTCCTCCACTCTTCTGACTTACTAGAAGTACTGTTCTCTAGTCTGTTACCTGACCTATAGGAGCCCTGTTGTGCACATGGTTAAGTGCTTGGCGGATGAAAAATATCGGCAGATCGGGTAGAGATTGTGCCATTGAGTTGCCTACAACTAACTCATAGCGACCCTATGTACAATAGAAAATCCTAGAGGGCAGTTCTGTTCTGTTTTGGGGAGCACTGTGAATGGAAAATCTACTGCATGGAACTTGCTAACAATTACCTAACCTACAGATTTTGGAAAAAAATGAGCCAATTTAGTAAAACAGGTATGTGGAGGTACATTTTACTAGTTCTATTTTTCTAGTGAACCCTAAGACATCTATTTGAAAAACAGAGTTTTATCCATTAAAGCATTTTTAAATCGGGAAGCAAAACCCCTTCTTAGAATCCTTGTTTTTAGGCAATTTATAAAAACACTTTTAAAGAAATTAACCTTATCACTACAGTATCCCATAAGAACCTGTTCAATGAGGACGATTTAATAATCTAGTGGAAAGAGCCATTTTGGGTTTAACTCACCACTAAGGAGTCTTACTATCCTAAGTACATTTAGGTAAATACTGTTTAATAACCTCATTTTCATCTGGGGCATTACATTGGTTTACCATCAGGGGCGATAGGATAGATCCCGCTTTCCTTCGTCATTCCCTGCAGAGTATATTAGCTTTCCCCCTATTCCTACAGAGATTTTTCCAAACCAAGATCAGCGGCAACGCCCCACCTCGCAGAGGCCGGGAGGAAGAGGAGGAGTAAAATAGGCGCCTTGGATGCAGGCCTGCAGGAAACTCTACAATTACAATCATCAGGGGTGGGGGATTTGGGAAAGGCCCACCCTCAGGAGAGGGCTAGCCAGGTTCAGCAAGGTATTTTTACAACGATCTTAGTCCCGCTACCCAGCATAGGCAGGGCGCAGAGGCGGGGCAAAATGGTTTGGCGTAGTGTTTGCAAGGCCATGGCTGCTGGGATGCAACGTGAGGGCCTTGGAGTAGCGCCTTTAGGGCTGCTCGAATGGTACAAAGGATCCCCCCAGCGGACCTTTTGCAGCTTCCTCACCTGTGCTTGGCGGCCGAGATCCCAGCAGACCCTCAGGCCCGCAGCGGCCCTGCTAGAACTTCTACGCAGTACTGGGGAATCCACAGCAATCAGCAGCTTCACGGCCACCAGCGCTTTCAGGTTCGCGTCCCAGCACCGGACCCCGCCCCCTTCTCTTGCCCCGCCCTCCCGCCGGACTAGTGAATATCCCGGATGTTACCTCTCTGAATCCCCGCCCTTCTTAGGCTCCAGCCCTTTCCAAATCCGCTACGGATCCTGAAAGGCCTAGGAAGGGGTTCGATGTCTCTTGGGTGGCTAGAGCGTCCTCCCGCGCTCTGTCGCGCTGCAGGTGACGGCGCCCAGAGGCTGTCGGGAAGTAGGCGGGGTGACGTGTGGTTGACGAGCTCCGCGGCGGGTTTACAGAGATCTGTGACCGGCAGCAGCTGGTGTCTGGGGGCCGCTGAGAGCGAGTAGTGGAGCTGGCAGCGTGGGGCCAGGGCCATGACGAGCAATGCCGGGGAGTGGTGCCTCATGGAGAGCGACCCCGGAGTCTTCACCGAGCTCATTAAAGGATTCGGTAAGAACCAAGAGAACAGTCCTGGGCGGAGGGTCACGGGAGGAGGCCCTAGCTGGGCATGAAGCATCTTCCTGCGGCTGCCACCACTTCATGTCTGGGGGAAGAGGTGGCCCCAGGAGCCTACAGTCTGGGAGAGGAAATGTGGAAATGTAGGACTAACTCCTCTTCCTAAACCCTTGGCAGTTGCTTTTCCACTGTAGTTTGAAAACCATGCCACGAGGGCAGGGACCAGATCTCTCATAACCCACTGTGTACTTAGTAGTTTGAAAACCATGCCACGAGGGCAGGGACCAGATCTCTCATAACCCACTGTGTACTTAGGACTCAGAACACACACACACAAAAGCCTAACACGCAAACCTAAACGAAGCTTATTTAACTTGAGCGCTCCTGAGCCACTTAGGCACCCGTCTTTATTCTTAATGCCTTCTTCTCTGGTAGTACCTTAGGGGCCTCCCTCAGGCCATGTTCATCAGACCAGCTTGAAAACAGGCGAGGAAGGGTGTGTCTGTCTTCTCCAGGATGGAGTGCCTAAAGCTAAATCTTCCTGGAACCTGAGATTCTAGTTACTCAAAATACTCTGTCTTGAATAGTGCCTGCTGTGCAAGGTTTCCCACGCGCTGGCTGTGTGGGGCTGACAGGCCACTTTGCTGGCTCATCTTCTTCCTATACATTTCTTAGCTTTCAGTGAAGTGTGCTTTCTTGAGCTTCTGTGTGGGAGAAAGGTAGGCAGTGTCCCCTTCTGCTCCTGATGGCCTTGAAAATCTAGAGGGTCAGTAGTGAGTCCATTCCAACTTGACCACAGTGACAGAGATAGAGTTGCCTAGACAAGAGGCGTTCCCCGTAATTTCGCTCAAATTATGCTACCTGCCTTCCATCCTAAATATAAAAAAACATACTTTTTACTCTTTGCTGCCCTTCTTGTTCCCAAACTCTTTTGGGGAAGCAACATTATTTTCCATCTGATAATTTTTTCCTGTGTTATACTTAATATTTAAGCTTGTACTTTGAGTAAGAATTAGGGAACTCTTGTGGCCTAGGGGTAAGGAGTTGCACTGCCAACTCACTAGCTGCTCTGTGGGAAGAAAGATGAGCATTCTCTTCCTAAGAGATTTGTTGTTATGTGCCGTTGAGTCTTCTGCAAACCATAACGACCTGACCCTATGCACTGAACCTTGCCCTGCCCTGTACCAGTCTCTCTAATTCCCTCACCAACTCCCTTTGCCATAGTTTCTGTATCAATCCATCTCATCTGGGGCCTTCCTCTCCTGTGCTGCCCCTCCACCTTTCCGAGCATGATGACTTTCTCCAAGGACTGGTCCCTGCTGGCCATTTGCCGAAAGTATGTGACACGGAGCTTCAAAATCCTAGCCTTCAAGGAGAAACTTTGTTTCACCTTCTTCAAGACAGATCTATTTGTTTTCTTGGCAGTCCATAGTATTTTCAAGATTCTTCTCCAGCACCACAATTTGAAGGCATCATTCTTCTGTCATCCTTGGTTATTGTCCAGCTCACTGATGCATAACAAGTAATTGCAAAGACCATGACCTGGTCTCTAGACTGCACCTTGCTCTCTAGACTGACATCGTTGCATTTCCGTACTCTGGAGAGGTCCCTGACAGCACATTTTCCCAATGTAATTTGTCTTTCAATTTCCTGACTGCTGGTGCTAAGAGTGTTGATTGTGGAGCCAAGCAAGCTATAATTGTTAATAAACTTAATCTCTTTTCCATCTGTCATGGTGCTGACAGCATCTGAAAACCTGTTGGAGGATCAGTTCTAACTCTACAGCACATAACAACAACATATTGCTTATTGTACTATTGAAATATAGCATTGATACCTTTGAGCTGTGGTGTTTGAGAAGAGTAGCGAATGTACCATGGACTACTAAGAAAACAAACTGGTTCATCCTGGAGAGGGTTAAACCGGACTGCTCTTTGGAGGCAAGGATTCTGAGATTTTTGTCTGACATACTTTGGACATGTTGCAAGGAGGGACCAGTCCTTGGAGAGCGATGTCATGCGTGGGAGGATGGAGGGCCAGTGCCGGAAGTTAAGACCCTCTATGAGGTGGATTGATTCAGTGACTGGGGTAATGGAGTGGCTGTGTCAGAGACAGTGAGATTGGCACAGGACAGAGCAGGGTTTAGTGCTGTTGTACATAGATAGGGTCGCAATGAGTCACAAGTGACTCAATGGCACATAACAACAACGTTCAGGCCTGCTTCTAGGTATTGGAAATATGATGGTGAATAAATCTTCTAAAGAACACAAACAGCAATGTAATGTGCCATCTGCTGCCTTTAAAGTGTAAAATGTACCTTGATACTGGTGATAGAAGAGCATGTTGTGCATTGAGGCTGAACCAACCCATAGCGGACCTTTCAGTGGGTTTTCACAGGCTGTGCATATCTCAATAGAGACTACCCTGGACGTGCTTACTAGGTTGTGCCAAGAAATCTGGAGGACAACTTCTTGACCAACTGACCAGAAGAGATCCATATTTTTTTCTATTCCAAAAAAAGGGACTCGACAAAGTATAGAAATTATTGAATAATAGACCCTCTATGAGGTAGATTGATTCAGTGACAGGGGTAATTGGGATGGGTGTATTGGAGACAGTGCTATTGGCACAGGACAGAGCAGAGTTTAGGGCTGTTGTACATAGGGTCGCTATGAGTCGCAAGAAACTCGACAGCACATAACAACAACAACAACAACAGCAACAACAACAACAACATCTCTGATAGAAGATCCAAGCAAAATGCTGCTGAAAATTATAAAAAAAAAAATGACTGGAACAGTATGTTGACAGAGAACTACTAGAAATACAAGTCTTGTTTAGAAGAGGTTGGATCTTGGCTTAAAGCAGAACGTTCCAGAGGAATGTCTATGTGTGTGTTTCATTGACTATGCACTTGATTGTGTTCATGTAAAACCTATATTTGGACCAGGAAGTAGTCAGAAGAGAGCAAAGAAACACTGTGTGGTTCAAAATCAGGAAAGGAGTGTGTCAGAGATGCATCCTGTCTCCATATCTTTTCAGTCTGTACATGGAACAGATTATTCAGGAAGAGGAATGTGACATCAAGATTAGAGGAAGACTCATCAACAACTTAATTATGCAGATGACACAACCTTCCTTGTTGAAACTGAGGAAGACCTTAAGCGTTTGCAGCAGAAGGTGAAGAACTGTAGTCTTCAAAATGGATTGAAGCTTAGCATTAAGAAAACAGAGATTCTCAACATTGGGCCAATTGGCAACTGCATGATAGAGAAGAGATTGAGATTATTAACAATTTTAGCTTGCTTGACTCCTCAGTCAACAGTCTTGGCACTGGCAGTCAGGAAATGGAAAGATTAGTTATGCTAGGGATATCAGTTGTCAGAAACCTTTCCAAAGTACTAAAGTGCAGTGATGTCAGCCTAGAGACTAAGGTGTGCCTGATCCAGGCCATGGTCTTCACAGTTACTTGCTATTCATTAGAGAGTTGGACAGTAACTAAGGATGATAGAAGAGTTGATGCCTTTGAGTTTTGGTGCTTGAGAACGGTATTGAACATACTATGGACCACCAGGAGAATAGACAGGTCCGTCCTACAGAGAGTGAAAACAACATTTCTAGTTTGTCCTGATGCCAAATTTCTCCTCATAAAGCCCTGCTTCCCGAATGGTCTGTTCTGCATATGGATTGAAAAGGTATGGGGACAGGATGTATCCTGACCCATGCCATTCCTGATTTTGAACCAGGGAGTGTTTCCTTGCTCTGTCTTGAGGACTACTTCCTGGTTCAAGTATCCGTTTCGCATAAGCACAATCAAGTGTTCTGGGATTCCCATTCTTCTCAGAGTCAGCCACAGTTTGTTATGATCCACACAGTCAAATGCCTTTGCATAATCAATGAAACACAGCTAGACAGTCTTCTGGTGCTCTTTCTGCCATGCTCCATCTGACTTGGGAATAATGTCTCTAGTGCCATGACCTCTTCTAAACCCAGGTTTTATTCCTGGTAGTTCTCTGTCAATGTACTGTTCCAATTGTTTCTGGATAATCTTCAGCAAGATTTTGCTATTAGTGATGTTGTTGTTGTTGTTGTTGTT